CAGATGTACCACAGGCTTATTGAATAGCAGACCAGGCTCATGTAGCTGAAAGGCCCATTTCTGTTCCTGACTTGTAGAATTATATATCCTTCTGAATTTTTAACTTTCTGCCATGAATTCAGACACAAAATATTTGCTTATCAACTCTATAATTTCCTTTCTCCTGGTGATAATTGCTCCTGTTTCAGACTGTACGAGTCCACAGTAATTTTAGCCACTCTTCTCTAACTTGCTTGGTGAAGATTAGTTTTTATATTTCTTGCTAGTTTCCTAATATTTTTACAGTTGGCGGGTTATCCTATTCTGATTTCTAAGGCTCTCCGAATCCTTGGGCTCACTATGCTTCTCGACAGCATCAGGAGGTCCCTCTTTTTATCCAATATCGTCCTTGAATTCTTTAGTTAATGTTGTTTCACTTTTCTCGTGGAATCTTTATTTCTCAATGAAGTGCACATTTGTTAAGAATTGTGAAACACCTCGCTAATATCCAACATTGATTATCTAGTGTCAATCATTTGAATTGAATTTTCCAAAATTCCTCAGTCAATTTTCCCCTTACACTTATGCAGCTGACTTTAAGTTTAATGCTGTAGCTTTAAACATAGCTGTGTCAGACTGACTGCAAAATTCTAACAGTTGTGATCACTCTTCCCCAGCAAATTACTTAGCATAAGGAATTTGGAATTTAGCATTATACAGAACAAGGTCTAAAATATAAATTTAAAGCAGAAAGTGATGGAGAAACTCAGCAGGTCTGGCAGCATCTGGGGAGAGAAAGCAGAGTCGCTGTTTTGAGTCCAGTAAGGCTCTTCTTTCTGAGGAAAGGGTTCTGAGGAAGCGTCACTGGGCCTGAAACGTTAACTCTGTTTTTTTCTTCACAGATGCTGCCAGACCTGCTGAGCTTTTCCAGCAACTTTGTTTTCGTTCTTGACTCTTCTTTGATTCAGAAGCTCTAAAGAGGAGTCATATTGGATGAGAAGCATTAACTCTCTCTACAGGAGCTGCCAGACCTGCTGAGTTTCTCCTGCACTTTTTGTTTTTATTTCATATTTCCAGCGTTCACAATATTTTGCTTTTGTTTAAGATTTAAAATATCCTCTCCTGTGATTGGTTCAACAAAATATTTTTCCTGAAATTGCTTTAAATGCATTTTTTAAACCCTCAAACTAAGTTTTGCCAATTTACGGTTTATGCAGTCTATGTGAAGATTAAAGCCCTTCATGATGGACACATTAGTTTTTTATTCCCTTAAGATCTTCACATTTCATGATGAATATTCTGTCCATCATGTTAGCTGCTGTGTGACCCAACAATTCTGATCTTTACTATTTCGTATCTTCATCTTTTCTAAAGCCAATTCTGGATTTTTATAACCCCAAGCCCTCCCACTCTACTCATTCTGAAGAAGAGTCACTGGACCTGAAACATTGACCCTGATGTCTCTCCACAGATGCTGCCAGACCTGTGGAGTTTCTCCAGCAATTTCTGTTTGTGTTTTTGTTTCCTCCCATACTACTGCTGTGCATTATTAGAACAATCCACTTTTCTTTTGATTTTATCTATGTTTTTGAAGCACTCAGTACCACGAAATTTGCCAACCTTGGTTACACACCAAATCTCTTCAACTTGTTTTGATAAGTTGTGCGTGTGTAAACCATTTTATTTTACAAAGGCAGCCAATAGGTGTGCAACTTGCTATTCTCTTCCCCAGACATAAAAGAATCAGCATAAGTTATTTACCTGTTGAAGCGAGGAAAAGCCATTCCATTATTTCTGTAGCAGAATCCTCCTTCTTGCATCCACAACGAGGTTCCCACTGTGACAATAAGATGAAGAATGCTTCCAGGAGAGTCAGATCTTTTAGGTATTCTGTTTACCTGACCCTCATCTTCCGCATCCTTCTTTTCTTCCTGCACATATTAAGAAGGTGGTCCACTTTCTACCAGATCACTTAGTAAAAAATGTCAGGAGGGTTTCCACATTTCACCTTTGTCTTCTGTAAATAAACTACACCCTCTGCATTAAATTTGGCTTGCAAGTAAAAATGCACACACACACAGACGCACACAGACACTGACACAGACACACACAAACACACGCAGAGGCATTGTAAGAAAGCTGCAAATGTAACAGCTTTGCAGTGAGACCCGAGAGTTTCAATAAGAATCCTTTGGGACAAGTTTAATTTCCAACCCTTGCTAAGCTGTTGGATGAACAGCATCATGCTGATAAGAATTGTGATGGTTTCACTCGGTTAAACAACAGGTCAGATTTTCCAGAGAGCGGTGATCTCACACAGATTGAAACTCAGCCCGTTCTTTCTCATGAAAGGATAGAGCTCTGCATTTCTGACAGGAAGATCCACTCAGCGGTCCCTTCAGACACTGGGGTCCATACTTCCATCTGGATGGTTTTGTTGTAGTGCAGTGCTGTCACAGGAAGGTAAACCATGCTCCACATCAGTGTAGTCCACATCCCGACAGTGAAACGAACTGGCAGCCACTTCAAAGGCTACTGTCAAACTATACGTCCATCGGGTAAGTGTGTTGTTACGGTGCTGGGAGGCCAGGGTCAGGGCGTACTAGGGTCAGGGCGTACTAGGGGTACTGTGCGATAGCGTTAGGGTGCAATCGGGTTAGTGCATGATAGGGTTAGGGTGTACTATGGTTAGGGTGAGATAGGGTTACGATGTACCAGGGTCAGGGTGCGATAGGGTCAGGGTGCGATAGGGTCAGGGTGCGATAGGGTCAGGGTGCGATAGGGTCAGGGTGCGATAGGGTCAGGGTGCGATAGGGTCAGGGTGCGATAGGGTCAGGGTGCGATAGGGTCAGGGTGCGATAGGGTCAGGGTGCGATAGGGTC